TCTTGGTCGAATGGCTTTCTGGGAGTAGTTTCTGGAAATCGTTCATCAGTAATCGGCTGTCCCAAATCAAAACCTAGTAAGGGACTTGGAACTAGGGATGTTCCGATACCATCAAGGTATCGATACCTACTCATATCAGTAGTACTCTAATCATTTTTCGATTCTACTCATACAAATACTCCTAATGATACTTACTGATATCGATACTTTTAGATTTTTTTTATATAAAATTAACGTAGCAAATGTTTCAAGCCACACAACGATCTATTCTGCCCTGCCACTTTAGTTAATATCGCATAGACCAATGAACTAACGAACTATTATGAACCTAACCTCATTAGTGAAAAGTAGAAGATCCTACCTTTCGTTTGTCCCTGTATCTATCTGCATTTTTCTGTAATTTGCCTCTATCCACAGTAATTCCATGAGTTTTGGAATGCTTGAATAAATTAGAAATATTGCCACAATATTTCACTGACTTAAAACATTGTTTACATTTTGTAGTTGTTTCGTTTATTTTGGTAAAATATGTCCATATTAATGATTTTGGTGGTGCCATGATAACATTGGAACAATAAACCGATGACTACAATAACTTAAATTACTCGTAACGTAATCGTAAACAATCACTTGTGGAATGTTGAACACTGCTAGTGCTGACTGGACCAGTGACAATTTTAGTGTAATGGCGGTCTATCTCTCGGTCGCGGCTCGGGTGAAGTCGAACGGGTTCGGCTCGCCTGATTCGATACCAAGTACTTTTGTTTCGATACCGACTAAGTATCGCAAGATTGATTCGATGCTATTAGTACTTGGTATCGAATCAAAAGTATCGAGTACCTACTCGTATTTACTAGTATCGGAATGTCCCTACTTGGAACAATTTTTACAGGAGAGCCAAAAAATGACTTCCCCACATTTGAGCGTGTGCCGCAGCTGAGTTATGAGGTACGTTGATGGGAATTGGCTGAAAAGTTGCGGAATATCCTTGGCTTTAAAGTTAATATATTATTTATCATGTATTTATAAAACTGCACGTTAGAAAGCAATTACTAAAAAAAACTTGTTTTAAGTGTAAAAATGATGACAGAAAAACCTTTTAAAATCTAGCAAAGACCTTTACTAGGTTTATATCTGGTTTTGATAAGCTACACGTTATTGTCAACTTCGTAACCTAGCAAGTAATCTAAGTTTTGAATTCTGGGCTTACTAGTTAAGTGCAACCCGCGATTTTACTAGTTAAGTGCAACCCATTTCTTTACTAACGATCACACCTAAATACAATTCCTTTAGAGGTAAAAAGTTCACATTAGATTTTCGATCTATACGAAGTGGATCTGTGGTTTTCAAATAATTTCCTTTCATATAACAACTTAAAAAGCCCACATACACATCAGAAAGATCTTTGAATGCTGTGTGGACAGTCCTATAATCTCCTTGAAATATAGTGTTCAGTTTGTTAATTATTTGCAGTATATAATCCCAAGCATAAAAATAAAGTTTATATACATTGTCATTCAAACTATTACATAAGAATTCAGCAGAAATATTTGGTCATCCAGAAACTGGGACTGAAAAAAAGTTTGAGGGTAACCCACTGCTCCAAAATTCTTTTAAGGCTTCTACAATAATCAGTAACCTTGACGATTTAGACTTTGTTTAAATTTAGCGACATCTATTAAAAGACAGACGTACTACAATGGCACTACGTAAATAGTAGACAAAGATTAACGATGTATAGATATGACAACTTATTTGCATAATTTTATTTGATCTCTGAGAGACCTAGTAGTGAATTGACATATTTTTTACTTTAGACCTTGTAACAATATTCACTTTCATGTTCAGCACGGACACTTTGTGAAGGTATGTGGATGACCAGGTAAGAACAAAGTGGTTCTCAGCAGTGGAAATGGTTAGTAAGATATAGTTTTCTGAAACTCTCATATTCAGCAAGGATGCTGTTACGTGCCATACACTTCGTGAAGGTATGTAGATGACCAGGTAAGTACCAAGTGGTTCTCAGCAATGGAAATGGTTAGAAAGATTTAGTTTTCAGAAACTCTCATATTCTGCACAGACGCTGCTGCGTGACACTTTGTGAAGGTATGTGGATAAACAGGTAAACTATAAGGAGTTCTCGGCCATGGAAAGATTTAGTTTTCAGTTACTGTCATATTTATCAAGAACGGTACTACGATAAATATTCTGAAGGTCTAATGACGATCTGGCTCATATGTGTAAGTGCTAAATTAAGTAAAATAGTAAAGACTTTGCGTACTTTTTTAATTATTTTATCTAAACATGTTAGGCACAGCATAAATCTGTCAAGATTAAATCAACCGTTGAATATTTTGTGCAAGTTAAAATTCATTATAATCTAAGTATCGTGAATTCTGGAAATTACTGGTGTTGACGACCGTATTGATTCTTGATATAAGGAAAGCGTTGTATTTTCTTCCTGTTCAGCAATGAGAATTATGGGTTGTATTTTCCTCTTGGAGATTTCAAGTTGTTTTTCTATTATTTTTTTATAGGTTCAATTATATAAATTGGATTACGTATTTCCACATTTCTGGTATGTCTTAGGTCTAAAATTTCAGGCAATATAAAAGTTAAATAAAAATTGCATAATTTTGACTTCATTTTATTTTCAAAACAATCATAATCCCTATAAATGACTTCCGTTTTCAGTGTTTGCGACTCACTGAACCATACTGCGAATACACATTTTGCTTTGCTAGTCATGTGCAACTTCCTTTGTACCTGATAGAACCAGTTGTGATTTTTATTTATCTCTAAATTACCTGATTTGTTTTTAATCCAAAAATTTACTTTTTTTTTGTAATAGCTTCCTCTAGTCCTGTCTTAAATGCCGTTATTGGACACTTAACCTCGACTATTGTTTCTTCGTCTATAATCCCATCTGGTGTGCCCCCCAAATACGGAATTTCGGGATCTATCTATATAAAGCCCGCAAGGTCTAATATCCACTGCTTCTTGCGTAGATAATTGTTGTAGGGCTTTTTTTCATATTTTCTTCCGTGCTGTAAAAGAACAGCATCTATATTAATTTTGTATAGCAATTGCTTTATTATATTGGTACAACTAGTATCTGGCCTCATTTTGATCACTTTGTCAAAGTTCGAAGCTGTCAACAAAGAACGTCTAAGTTCAAGTCATTCGCTAGACTCGCTTTGCAAAATGATCTGGCGCTCAATCCGTGTTCCTTCTTCTTCACTTTTTTTTTTAAAGTGGATAGAAAAGTTTCCTTCATTAAATTAAGAACATCATCACTCACATCCGGCTTAGAACTTTGTTCACCATAATCTTTATTTTAAGTTATAGCGTCACACGTCTTCTGTGGCTTTTTATAATTGGCGAGTTTCTTCAAGCCTCTGAGTTTCCGATACTTAATATCGAAAGTGAAACCTAGTTTGATAGCCGCGCCGTAGAGTAATTTACTCTTTTAGCCCCAATTAACTTGGCCACAACGCTGTAAAAAGATTCTACGATGTTACTATCAACAACATGAACAAGACTTCTTGAATGGCCAGCAATACTATCTATAATAAAACATATTCTTTGCCATAAAGAACTTAAGAAAAAATCACTGATACTGTACTGATTAAGTTTCAGTTTGACGACGTTTACATTAATGGTTTTTACTGTTGGTGTGATTCCCGAAGGCATGTAAATGTACATGGAAATGTACATTATTGAATGTTGAGGCAAAAGTTTGTGAGTGCAAAAATCGAAAGTCTGTAGAATCATGATATTTTTGATGCATTTTCTAATTGTAGACCTAATGGTCATTATGCGTTTTTTTGTAATTAATTTTCTAAGATGTATGGGATATTTTGTATCGGTTTTCTAGTTTGTTGCACAAGTTTCTTAAAAGGTAATTTCTGCACTCTACTTTTTCAACTGTAAATTGAAAAAATCTCCGTCAGATATTAGACGTCCATAAATTAGACCGTACATTTCAACAGATGATTTAAAACCTTCTACCGTCAGGGTAGATTCCATGGCAGTAGATGCACCCGTGAAATTTTTGTAACACTGATGAGCTCTCGGAGTTTGATTTTTGTCATCTTGCGCACATATTCTGTAGGACTTATTTTTATCACCGAGAAACAAATTTTTTCTCGTTTCTCTTCAGATTATGGCAGGAAAATGCCGAGTAATTCTTTTTATAAGACCTCTTACTCCAGCATCCATCAACAATAACTAGGTAGATTGTAGGTAGGTAAACAATATTTCATTGGATAGTTAGGGTATGGTAAAATAAAATAATAAAACCATGAAGATAAGACTTTATACCATTTATTTCGACCAACAAGGATCATGGGGTAATATTACATTCATTCAAGTTAATTCTAATGCTAAAATTATAACTCATTACTAAAATTAAAATATCAAATGCATAAGTATTCATAATAATATTGAAAATATAATAATTATTTAATATTAATAATAATAATAATACCAAGTCGGTTAATTTATTCAGTCCCTACTTAAGGGTCCTGCTGTCTCAAGTTATTACGTAATTAGCTAACCTAACAACATCTTATAGTGACCATATCAATATAAAAATCTTTAGCGTTTTAAAAAAATAGATTGACTTGGCCATCACATGAAAACACAATGTATCTCACAAGTAATAGATATTATATTTAATTAGATTGTTTAGTGCGATGGCCAAGTAAATCTATGTATTTAAAACATAAAAGATTTTTAATATTGATATGGTCACTATAAGATGTTGTTAGGTTAGCTAATTACGTATTAACTTGAGGCAGAAGGACCCTTAAGTAGGTACTGAATAAATTAACCGACTTGGTATGGATCTCACTACTTTTTACGGTATAAGAACTGAATTGCGAGACTTGGTTTTTTTTACAAGTTATGTTTTTAATGTATCTCATTTCTACGTCAAGAAGTCAAGTTTCTACGAAAAGCTACGTCAGGACGAGGAAAAGTTCTTTAATTATTTTAGAATGAAAGTAAAAACTTTTGATGAACTGTTATCAAAGTTAGAAAATCACCTGAAGCACTGCTCCATATATCGAGAAATTATACCTCAAGTGGAACGACTTGCTGTTACATTGAGGTGAGTTACATAATATCAATTTATTATTGGAACATAATAATAAGAAAGAAAACAATACATTTTTATATAAGCTTTTTATTATTTTTTGTAAAAAAGAATAAGTAGTTATTTATTTTGTTGAAGGACACATTTTACTTGTCTTCGTTGGCTTTCCTAGTAATGCCATGGATGGTTTGGTATCCTTGAGAAATAATTTGGGATCCGGAGTTTGATGTATAAGAAGTAGTGGAACGTACTTGGTACATCACACATTCTTGTGAAATGGTATTTGATATATCAGGGAAAGTTTCATATTCATGTACGTTGATCGGATCTTGACTGTGTAAAATCGATTCAGGCTGTTGAGAAAAATACGAATCTGAAGAATTCGGTCTACTGGTTATTTCATATGGATTGTGCATACTACTAATTTCCATTGCTTTTTTGAGCATATCTGTACGGAAAATCAATTTTTGATGCGTTGTAAACTTTTCTGTTATTGGCAGGAGAGACATGAAAAAATTCATGTCATCATTTTTAATAAGTTTGGCATCATCTTTGAACATCATTAGCATCTCTTTATCGAATTCATCAGTCTCGGTCTGTTTTCTTTTTCACTGATTTTTATTAGAATGTTTATTACGAAAATTAGATTCTGTAGAATTTTCTTGAGCAACACTTTTCTGTAATTCTGTATTTACTTCAAGTCCTGTGCTCCTTGGTATGTCCTGACTGGACATACTTGGCACGTCTTGATTAGATATGCGTGGGATATCCTGATTAATTGCGCTCGGTGTAGCCTGATTACTTTCGATAGAGTCCTCAACTTCAGCTTGGTGTTTCTTATCAAGAAATTTCATATCTTCAAAATATATGTACACCTTTTTTTTACTTCCTCCTGATCCTGAGGGAGTATTTTTTAAGACATTTTTGCAACGCATATATGCATCTCTTGCAGTTTTCCATCGTTGCTGCACAATTTTTTCTGAAACAATAAAAAATAAGATAAAAGAGTAAAATTAATACATATTACACTTTACAGATTCCTTGCGACCGGCAATACCTACATAGATCTACATTATCACTATCGGCTTGGAGAATCAACTATTGGCAAAATCGTTACAGAAGTGTGTACAAAAATTTGGGATGTTCTGCACGATGAAACTTTAAGACTGCCTTCGTCACATAAAGATTGGCTGAGAATCGCTGCGGGTTTCGAATCACGAGCAAATTTTCCGAATTGTGTTGGAGCGATAGATGGCAAGCACGTCCGTATTATTTGCCCTGCATTCGGTGGAAGTTTATTCAGTAATTATAAAAAATATTATTCAATCGTTCTGTTGGCTATGTGTGACGCTAATTACTGTTTTAAGTATATTAATGTGGGTGCTTGTGGAACAGATTCTGACTTCATAATATTTAGGGACAGTAACTTGTATGCAAAATTACAAATCGGCAAAATAAACCTACCAGAACCGAGACAAGTAGCTAACAGCTGGACACCGTTTCCTTACATAATTGTAGGGGATGCAGCGTTTGGAATATCACGTCATATTTTAAGACCATACGCCCGTAGGTATATGACTCACAAGAAAAAAATATTCAACTACCGTCTTAGTAGGACAAGACGCTACATAGAATCTACTTTTGGTATTATGTCTAATAAATTTGAAGTATTTCACTGGACTTCATTGATTAACAGCATCAAAATAGTCAAAGCATGTTGTGTATTACATAACTTTATAAGAGTATTTGATGGATATGATGTTATTGATACTATGTCAATTGTTGGTTTAGAAAATGTTTCTCTAAACAGCTATAACATTATGAATCGGACAGGCGATACTTTAAGAGACTTATTCGCTAACTACTTTGTTTCACCGGAAGGTTCTTTGCCATGGCAAAACCAGTATATTTACTAAGAAATAGCAACAACACATCACACGCTAATTGCGCATTCCCGCCAACGACGTGGAACGGACAACGACAGATTTTATTGTAATTCGTGTGGTCTTTGGTTTAAATTGTCTTTTCTACATAAAAGTTTTGTGTATGGACATTATTAAACGTGTAGGTACAATTAGTGTAGTGTTGTGTGTGTATTTTTCATGAACCTTCCAACCCTGATAGAGCATAAGCCAGCTATAGTGGAGCAAATTCGCGCGCGACTGTCCTGCGAAATGTAAGACGTCCCAACGGCTTACGGCCCGTTCACGACCTTGCCGCTGTGAGCGGCAGCTAAACGCGGGGCGGCGTGCGGTAAGATCAAAAGTATAAAAATGCTTGAAGCACGCCACGAAAATGCACCACTAAGACCGAAGTCGTGAACGGGCCGTTACATTTCGCAATACAGTCGCGCGCGGACGCGGGGTAGAATAAGACAAAAATTATGTTTCCCTTCCCGCTACCCCACCCGCATTCCACATGTATATCTGATAAAATTATTATAAACACATTATCTTTTACTTACTGATCTCCTTTTTTTTATCATCGCCCTCATTATTGTAATCCGGAAACAGTGCTTCAAAAACTTGTAACCAAAATTTTGCTCTGGCATCGCGATCTTTGTAAAGTTCATTAGATAAATCCCACAATGCAGGACGTAGGCGCACCTCGGCAATCACACGTTCGGTATCAATATTCATGGCGACTACACGCGCGCGCGTACCATTTAGCCGACGGTCGGGAACAGAGTGAGGACGCTCATAACGTTCTATAGCGCCTCAGTCGACCGAAGTACGCGGCGCTGACGAGCGAGACCGGTGTGCGCCATACGCGGCGCGTAGCAACTCGCGAGCCGCTGATGTCAGCGTCACAGTGTGGTGCCATATAGAACACAACGAAAATTCGTACGCGCGACCGACGTCAGCGACAGAGGAATTCAGGCCTGAATTCCTCCTACGCTGACGTCGGTCGCGTACGTCTGTCGCGAGTACTAATGTACATTGTGTTCTGTATAGCCGAACATTACGACGCTGACGACAGCGGCGCTTAGTTTGCTACGTACGCGTACGCGACCGACGTCATCATCATTCATCATTACAGACTTTCATAAGTCCACTGCTGAACATAGGCCTCCCCCAAGGAATGCCACAAAGCATGGTCCTGAGCCACCTGCATCCATCGACTTCCTGCATGTCTTACCAGCAGCCACTTCAGCTTACTAATCCGTTGGGCTATGTCGGTTACTCTGGTTCTACTGCGGATATCCTCATTCCTAAGTTTATCAGGCAGAGAAACTCCGAGCATAGCCCTCTCCATAGCTCGCTGAGCGACCTTGAGCTTCCTCATACGGCCAGCAGTGACGGACCACGTCTCAGTTCCGTAAGTCATCACTGGCAACACGCACTGGTTGTACAATTTCCTTTTAAGGTTTTGAGGTATGTCTGACGAGAAGATGTGTCGTAGCTTCCCGAACGCTGCCTAGCCGAGTTGAATCCATCGATTGACCTCTCGGTCGAAGTTGGACTTACCTAGTCGGACTATTTGTCCCAGGTAAACATACTCGTCAACAACTTCGAGCTTAGTGCTCCCAACAACTACCGGCATAGGTGTGACATAGACATTAAACATAATCTTTGTTTTGTCCATGTTCATCTTAAGACCTATCCATTTGGAGACACTATTGAGGTCATTGAGCATAGTGCTTAGGTCCTCCAGCGATTCTGCCATAAGGACTATATCGTCGGCAAATCGAAGGTGAGTTATGTACTCGCCATTGATGTTAATACCGTATCCTTTCCAATCCAGAAGCTTAAAAACGTTTTCCAATGCAGCGGTGAAGAGTTTCGGGGATATAACGTCACCCTGTCTTACACCTCTCTGCAATTGGATAGGTTTCGTACTCTGGTTCTGTACTCGGATCGCCATCGTAGCTCTACTGTACAAGCACTTCAGCACTTCGATATACCGACAGTCAACTTGGCACCGCTGAAGGGACTGCAGCACCGCACAAATTTCGACGGAATCAAAGGCTTTCTCATAGTCCACATACGCCAGGCATAGTGGCAAATTGTACTCCTCGGACTTCTGTACAACTTGCCGAAGGGTATGTATGTGGTCTATGGTGCTAAAGCCCTTTCGGAAACCGGCTTGTTCGGGAGGCTGGAAGTCGTCAAGTCTGCGCGCGTGACGATTCGTCATGACTTGAAAACAGCACGTAGACGCGGCTCATAAGGGAAATCGGTCTGTAGTTCGTCAAGAGAGCGTTGTCACCTTTCTTGAAGAACAAGACCACCGCACTTCTGTTCCACGACTCCGGTGTAATGCCACCACGGAGGTCGAAATTAAAGAGCTTCTGAAGGACTTCCAGTACCGGTTTTCCACCCACTTTCAGAAGCTCCGCTGTAATTCCATTCTCGCCTGGGGCCTTGCCGTTTTTAAGATGCTGGAGAGCCATTCTAATCTCGCTCAGACTGACGTCCGGGATATCTTCGGAATAGTGTCGGATAAGACTCGCTCTTGGATCGTTATTCACACTTGCGTGTGGCTCCAACGATGACGTGTACAGCTGTCCATAGAACCTCTCAATCTCACTCAAAATCTCAGGTGCCCCGGAAAGGATGCTGCCACATTCGGTCTTCAGCTTTGAAAGTTGGCTCTTTCTGGCAGACAGATCTCTGGCAAAGACTTTGGAGCCATGGTTCCGATCGATCGCTTCTTTAATACAAGCTGTATTGATGTTGCGTAAGTCCCGCCGCATGCATTAGATAGAGATATGTCTGTTCAGTTGCCTGCATGCTGTTAATCTGTTGAAGAATGTAGCATCATCTCCCGTCTAACAGCCATGAGATTAAGAGTGTGATCGGAGAGTTTTTGTGTTCTTCTGCGGCGGGTCTTGCAGAACTTAGCTCCGACCGCATGGACAGTTTCCACGAGCTTGTCATTCATATCGTCCACTTCATTGCAGTCTTCTAGGCACTGAAAACGGTTTTGTAACTCGAGCTGAAAGGTTTCGGGACTTTGGAACAGAGCACGAGGGGGACGGAGCGTTGACTTCATTAGACGAGACCTCTCCAACTTAACGTTTAGTGATGAACGTGATCACTACCAGTTTTCACCCTCGCGATCACGGAGACATCACTGAACAGTTGTTGTCTGGTCGTCATAATGAAGTCAATCTCATTTTTTGTCGAACCGTCGGGGCTCGACCAGGTCCACTTCCTGTGGGGCCGCTTCTGGAAGAAAGAGTTCATCATAAAGAGTCCCTCTTTCTCCATGAAGTCGGCCAGCTGCTGGCCCCTTGGGTTCCGTTGCCCTATTACAAATTTCCCTACTTTCATCTCACCGTTCGCTCTTGTGCCTAGTTTTGCATTGAAGTCTCCCATTAACACCGTATATTGGGTTATGGAGGAAAGCATGGCTCTTGAGATATCCTCATACATTTGCTCCACCTCCTCATCGGGGTGTGCCGAGGTTGGTGCGTAAACCTGTATGACCTTTTGTGAATACCGTTTGGTGATTCTGAGTATAAGGTACGCAACCCTCGTCGACACTCCCGATCTTTACAACGTTGTTAACGAGAGACTTGTGGACGATAAATCCGACACCTCCTTGGGACAGATGGTCGCCCTCCCGGTGATATAGCAATTTGCCGGTTTCGAGGATTACCGTATCCTCCCCCTCTCTTCGGACTTCGGATAATCTTATAATATGTCAGCGCAACTTGTCTATTTGACAAAAATTGAGAAAGGTATGCTGAGATGGTTTGGCCATGTCGAGAGAATGAATGAAGAACGATTGACGAAAAAAGTGTATAAGGCGAGTGTGAATGAAAGTGTTGGAAGGGGTAGACCTAGGCGGACATTTCTAGACCAAATCAGGGACGTCTTGAAAAAAGGCCAGGTCAAGAGTACCCTAAACCGTAGAGCATGTATGAAGGGAATAATGAAAGTGGACGAAGCAAAGCAAGTATGTAAGGATCGTAGCAAGTGGAAAGAACTGGTCTCTGCCTACCCCTACGGGAAAGAGGCGTGATTATATGTATGTATGTATGTAACTTGTCTATTTCTTCTTCCAGCTCCACGATCTTCTAGTCAGTCCTCAGGGTGCGTGCGTTGTACGTTGCAAGGTCAAGTCGTCTAAGGTGGCAACCGAACCTCCACCGGAGATTCTTAGCACCCCCTGCCCTGCTGTTACCGTGGTCGCCACCGTAGCCAGGAGTAGTGGGGCCACCGGGGACCGGGGGCCGTCTGTTTGTTGCTCTAATCATTGGGGGGTATTTGCCACAGTTGCCACGCTTGGCGAGCGGGTTGGCAACCGCATTTTTTTATTGTAATTTTGGCTATTATCAGGAAGATGCTGCTGTCCATCTCCTGCCTATTTCCCTTTGTCGCCTTTTACGACACCCACGGGAAGATATGGGGTAGTGGATATTCTTGACCGCCACTACACAGCACGATCGACCGACGTTAGCGTAGGAGTAATGTAGGCATTAGAGTTTTGATGATCGGTCAGTCAGTGAGTGACAAAATTAAGAAACTTTGACTAGTTTTAATTTTAAACTACTGGTTCAAATTGAATGAAATTTGAAATATACCGTGTTTATGCAATGCATGCTTGGTTACTGAAAATTCAGGCTTCTACTTATATCTACAATGAAGTTATAGAGGGTCGAAAATGGCCTGAACTGCTTCGAGAAAAGAATGGCACGGCGGTGCCGCTTTTTTGCTTGACTTGGCGGGAGCTCTACCGTGCCCCCAGATTATTAAAAATTAAAAGTAAACAATTAGTACTTGTGGTACTCTTTGAAACAATCGTTCAAACAAAACCCGTATTAAAAACCGAAATATGAAGTATATTCTCTAACTTTTTTTGAAACCCAACACTGTCTACACCGACGTCGTAAAATTTTTCTCTTTCTGCCATCATTTGTACGAGAACATTGATGAAGAACATGCACTTGAGTTTTTGGAAATGAACTCAGCGTTGTGTCTTCTACGTCAATATTTAACAATTTCATTATGATTTCAAGTCTCTAATCATAGAAAGTTTTCTTCGTCGAAAAAATGTTGTGCAGTATGTATGAATTATACAAAATTTGCTGGAACACGTGAACTCCTAACTTCTTGTACCAACGTATAGTTTTGTGCTCACATGAATAATAAGTAAGCATTTGATCATGATAATGTATACCACCCGTGTACCTATTGTATTTTACTACAACTTCAGGCTTGGAAACAGTTCCACAGCGTCGATTCGTAATGTTGGTCATTTCAGATCCATATAATGATGAAATCATTAAAACGTCCCGCCGGTCTTTCCCTTTCATAATACAAATACAAATACTATTGAAATTTGCTATCCATTCGCCACGTTTCAATTTTCTTTATAAGACTACTTTGGATTTTTTTCGATTGATACGTAAAGCACCCGTACAATATGTTTTAAGAGTCAATAATTTGTGTGCAAGATTTACAGAATTATAAAAGTTATCCATATAAACGGAATATTAATTAAAATTATCAGATAGTAAATTCAAAACAACTTTTTCACTGCGATTGGCACCTCCCACTGAAGTATCCGACGCGGTATATACAATAATCTTCATAATTACCCCATATTCGTCGGTAAGGATATAAAGTTTTATACCGTAGGGATGCTTTTTGCCTTTGAGATATTGACGGAATATTAAACGACCACGAAA